GGGAACCCTAGTCCACTGCTGGTGGGAATGCAGACTTGTGCAGCCACTATGGAAAACAGCATGGAGGTTCCTCAAAAACTTAAAAATGGAGCTGCCTTTGACCCAGTGATCCCACTTCTAGGAACATATCCTAAGAATTCTGAAATACTAATCAGAAAGATNAGATGTGTATAAGAGACAGGTGATCCCACTTCTAGGAATATATCCTAAGAATTCTGAAATACTAATCAGAAAGATTATATGCACCCCTATGTTCATAGCAGCGCAATTTACAATAGCTAAGATCTGGAAACAGCCCAAGTGCCCCTCAGTAGATGGGTGGGTAAAAAATGGTCAGGACATTTACACCATGGAATACTATGCAGCTGTAAAGAAGGATCTCGTACCCTTTGGGACAGTATGGAAGGACCTGGAGAATATTATGCTAAGCAAAATAAGCCAGGCAGAGAAAGACAAACATCACATGATCTCACTTATATGTGGAAGCATGGATCAGACTGAGGAATCTCAGAGGGATGGAGGGGGCAGATGGCTGGAGGGGGAGAGATTAACCAAAGAACTTATATGCATATATGCATAACCCAAGGACACAGATAGTGGTTTGGAGAGGGACTGGGGAGGTGGGTGGGTGTGGGGTGGAACGGGTCAATGGGGAGAAAAAGGGACATCTGTAATATTTTGAACAAAAATTTAAAAAAATAAAAAATAAATAAATAAAAATTAATTTTAAAAAATTTTAAAAAATAGAAAACACACAAAAGAAACAGACTAAGTTTAGAAGAACTTAAAAGATATATTATTAAACATCTTTGGTTTAACCTGTAGGTAACTCAATTCTATGGGGAAGAAAATCTGTATACCAATCTTTTGAGGTACATGGATTTCTATTTTATGCCAGTAGTTAATGTGGATAGTTATGAGTACACGTGGAAAAAGGTAGGTGAAGGCGAAGGAAATAAAACTTTCCCTCTTTGGGGATATAGGATACACTGGCTGAATTATGTGTAAAATCCTGGATCTTGGCACAATGGTTTCATTATAAAAAAAATATTAATTCTCATTATGGAAAAGTTCAACCATATTTGAGTGGAAATAATTGTATAGTAAACTCCTATCTACCTGTCAGGCAGCTTCAGAAATAATCACCTCATAGCCAATCTATTTTTATCTCAACCTGCTTCTACCTTACCCATATTATTTTAAAGCAGATCTCAGACAGGATAAATAAATATTTCAGTATGCATCTCTAAAAAAGCTCTTTAAAAAATAACCACAGTACAAGTATATCTAAAAATTTTAAATTATTACTTAAAATAAAAGGTTCAATCAATATTTAAATTTCCAATTATATAATAACTTTTTAATAAGTTTCTTTGACTGAGGATCTAAATAAGGCTAACATGTTGTGATTGATTTATACATCTTTTGATTCTATTAATCCATAGATGCTCACCCTCTCACTCTTTCTTGCAATTTAATCATTGAACGAAAGAGTTTCCCATTGTCTGGATTTGCTAGTTGCATTTTGCCATGCAATTTAACCTATTCCTCTGTTCTCCGTATTTTCTAAAACTTGATATTTGGATTCTAAAAGCTTAATCAGATTCAGAATTGAATTTTTGGCAAGACTACTTCATTGTGATAGTGTGTTCTCAGATCAGGATATGTATAATGTTTAGTTGTGACTCTTTTTGAAATATTAGTTACCATTGATGTACAATGTCTAGATCCATTTATTCTTACTAGGTATCCTTTGAATAGCATTTTGATTTGTAAATCATAAATTGCAAGACTTAGAACAGAATTCTAATGGAACTTTTATTCTAACTGATATGTGAATTTAAACCTTAGTGCATTTTAATTCAATTATTAGCATGAGTATCCTGATCAATCTCATCTATATTGGAAACCATTATCAATAGTTTTTCTAGCCCATCAATATCATGATTCATGTAAAATTACTCAAGCAATATGAACTACATTCCTTTCTAATTTAATGAGGGGCACATAAAACATAACTGAGCATATGTCAGTTAAGAGAAAGCTACTTGAGTAGCACATATAAACGCTACAGAGAATGAGAATAATTGCCCTGATTATAAACATATGGGATTATACAGGAATACTGTAGTTTCACGTAGGAGGTAATTTATGCAGAAGAGATCAGAATAGAGATTAATGAAAGAATTATCTCAGGTGAGAGGAATACTGTGAGTAAAAGTTTGCAGGTGGGGGTGGGCAAATTCTAAACTAAGTAAATGAGAAATACCTAGCATAGCATATAGTACAAATTTGATGTTCAGTAAGTGATCACATCTATATGTTGATCTTATAATAAATTTATGCCTTCACCAGAATCACAATGGAATTTAGCCACCCTTAAAATGTTTCTACTTTTCAGCTTTCCTTTGTGTCTTAACTCTGCCAACTAATCCCTGCAGTTTGAGAACCTAATTTCTCCACAGAAATTGTTGCTACCAAACCACAGGCTGGGGTTTTGTAAGCAGACTGGGAGGCTTGTTAGAAGGGTTGGTGAGAGTAAGGCAGGAGTGGGGAACCTTTTTTCTGCCAAGGGCCATTTGGATATTTATAACATCATTCCCAGGCCATACAAAATTATCAACTTAAAAATTAGCTATGAAAAAAGCTCCTAGATTTATTGAATTTTGAGTCCCGTCTGTGGTTGCCTTGGCAGGGCCAGACCAAATGATGAAGGGATGGGATTGCAGGAGAGAAACATAGCCTTGGCCTCTTAGGCTTTAAAAGTCCTGTCTTTCCTTAAACCACAAACATTTTGTTTATTTAGAATCGAATGTGGAGAAAGAACAGTTCTTTTCATGAAAATAGTCCTTGCATTGGAACAGACCTGAACAGGAACTTTGCTTCCAAACACTGGTGTGGTAGGTTGTTTGTTTCATTTTGGGCAATGTTTCTTCATTAGAAGGGTGGTATTCATAAAGAAAGGTGCATTAATTCAGATAGGGGAGGTCTATCTGAATGGGGAAATAATTTAAATAATAAACATTTTAGTTAAATGTAATGCTGTGAATATTACCTAGAGTCAGCAAATTACCTTAACCTCTCCTTCCTGCTGTTTCCTCATCTTTGAAAGAAGTTAGACCAGTTCTTTAAAGTCCCATCTAGCTTCAAAATTCTTAATTCTATTTTTCTAAAATAATAAGGAAGTGACTGTTAAATTTCCTGCTTTAACCAATGTTGGGTGGGTATCTCTCATTTTAATTGCATAGATAAATGTTTACTTCTATAGTGTCTAGCACAGTGGGAGTTTATTATTCCTTGATTTGAATGTGTTAAGGTACTCAGTGACTATTGATTTAGGCATTCAAGAATATTGTCTGCTCTCAGAGAGGTTAAGTGTTAGTTTACCCTCCAGACTCCCATTATATTTCATAGTCACTGCATTTAAGAAACAGTTACAAAATAAAACTACACTGAACAATAAGCTTGAATCACCTGTATTATGGAAGTGGGCACACCTGGATCCTTGGGGACTACAAGAGAACAAAGCTTTTGTAACCACAGAAACACCCTCTTCTTCCTACTCCTTTGTCCTACACAATCCTATGTCAATGATCTTACATTTTTCTTTAAAGAAAAGAAGTGAAAATTCATGCTTTTGAACATTTCATCATTATCCCAGGGCACATAGGAAAACCCCACAACAGAGTACTTACCTTATTTTCTTCTTTCCTTCCCCCTCCAGGTTAGACACTCCATGGGGGCAAGGATCATTATCCATGACCTAGTCCAGTGTCTGAAACATGGAGGGTTCTCCAAAAATGTTAATTCAATAAACATGTAAATAGATTTAGTTGTTCTAAGAGAGCTAGAGATGTAGTCGGTAAAGAGAGGAAAGAGCTGTTAATTCTGCTTTCAGACTCAAGGGAACTACATAGTGATTTCTCTGTTAAGAGCCATTCTTAAGATTGTCCAATAAAAGTGCCCACTGAGGCGCCAAGACTGCTGTAGCAGTGATTAGTTGGCAGGAAGTCAGAGAAGCAGCAGCTAATATAAAATAAACCTGAATAAATAGGGCTGACAGTTACTAAGTGCTGAGCAGTTTACATAGTTTATCTCCTAGATTTCATTATCAAAATATCATGAATGGAGAATCCCAGGCTTTAAAAGGTTAAGTCCCTTGCTGGACATCACAGAGCTAAAAAGTGAAGGAGCTGGGATACAAAGCCAGTTTTGTTTGTTTGTTTGTTTGTTTGTTTGTTTTTGAGAGTATTACAGATGTGGGGGCAGGAAGAGATTAACCAAAGAATTTATAAGCATATATGCATAGCGCATGGATACAGACAATAGACAAGTGAAGGCCTGGGATGGGGTGGGAGATGGGTGGAGGGGGAAAATGGGGGACATAAAGCCAGGTTTTATAGTTTATTGATATTTAGAGAGAGAAAGGGAGAGGGAGAGAAAAACATCTATGTGAGAGCATAACGTCAATGGGCTGCCTCCTGCATGCCCCCTACCAGGGATCTGGGATGGAGCCCACAACCTTTTGGTGCACAGGATGACACCCAACCAACTGAGCCACACCAGCCAGGGCTTATTGAAATTCTTGTATGTCTGACAATCACTCTTCAGTTATAAATTCCCTTTTGGAACTTATTTTATCTTTAAGCACTTTTGGTGCTCTATTTTACTTAATATTTTCCATGTAAAGCCAATGTTACCTAATTTGAATAGCAAAGTGGTCAAAATATATTCTGTTATTACCAAAAAGAAATATCTCAGGCCCCTCTTAGGCATGGTGCTGTACTATATCATATTATGTTGTGATATATTATTATATGTCACAAGAGTTAAAAACAGAAACAGAAGCAGCAAGCTTATAGACAAGAGAGAGTTCAAAGTAAAACAAAAAGTATTTGTAAGGACTCTTTTGTGACAAGTGCCCCAGAATCTCTTCAGTACTACGTAAGTTGGCCAGTGAGAAAGGAGAATTAAATCTTCTCTGTTTCTTGTCCCTAAACCTAGAATGTGCCTTTATGGTACTTTGTAAAGGATCTCTAAGAGTGCCTCACTTATTAATAGGAAGTGACATATCAAGCCTCTGTTCGTTTTACTCTTCCTCTGTCTAAAATTGTCTGTGTGTGTTAGATATGGGAATGGGAATGGGTTTGAGGGTGTATTTCTCTGCTAGGGCTGTCAAAACAAAATGTCACAGACTGGGTGGCTTAAACAAGAGAAAGACTTGAAGTCCAAGATCAAGATGTCAGAAGGGTGGGTTTCTCCCAAGGCCTCTCCTCTCGGCGTGCAGGTGGCTACCTTCCCGTCACGTCCTCCCAGGGCCTTTTCACTGTGTTGTGTGCATCACTGGTTCCCTCTCTCTCTCTCTCTTCTTATAAGGACATCAGCCATATTAGATCAAGGCTCCACCTCTATGACTTCATTAAAACTTAATTACCTACTTAAAAGCCCTATTTGCAAATAAAGCACATTTTGGATTAGTACTTAATCATAAATTGGGGGGGGGGGCAGAATTCAGTCTATAACAAGGGGTATTTTGTGAAAACCTCTGGTCTCAAACTTTTTAAGACAGATCAACTCATTTTCTAAAATAGTAAGTTTAAAAAAAAGGTAAGTTAAATTACAAAGTTTTTGCAGTGGGTATATACTATATATTATATCATATAATCTTATGACATATATATCATAAAATTTGCCATTTTAACCATTTAAGTGTACAATTCAGTAGCATTAAGTACATTCACAATCTAGTTAAACCATCACCAATATTCATTTCCAAAACTTTCATCATCCCAAACAAAAACTCTGTAATCATTAAGCAATATGTCCTCATTCCCTACTCTCCCAGCTCCTNGGGCAGAATTCAGTATACAACAAGGGGCATTTTGTGAAAACCTCTGGTCTCAAACTTTTTAAGACAGATCAACTCATTTACTAAAATAGTAAGTTTAAAAAAAAGGTAAGTTAAATTACAAAGTTTTTGCAGTGGGTATATACTATATATTATATCATATAATCTTATGACATATATATCATAAAATTTGCCATTTTAACCATTTAAGTGTACAATTCAGTAGCATTAAGTACATTCACAATCTAGTTAAACCATCACCAATATTCATTTCCAAAACTTTCATCATCCCAAACAAAAACTCTGTAATCATTAAGCAATATGTCCTCATTCCCTACTCTCCCAGCTCCTGGTATTTCTAATTTATTTTATGTCTCTATGAATTTGCCTCTCCTGATATTTCTTGAACTGCAAGGGACCTGGCAGACCAGGTACCTCTTGGTACGGGTGAAGCACTTAGACGAGCTAGTTTGCTCAGATTTACATGCCTGCTTAATGGAAAGCAGTCTCAAACTTAAGTTTCCTGACTGCCTGGCTCTTCTACTAAAATGTTTGCCATCTCTAGAATGAGATTTGAAGCTGCACTGTCCACTACAGTAGCCACTAGTCACATATGGCCATCGAGCACTTGAAATGTGGCTTGTTTGAATTGAGATGTGCAGTGATTGTAAAATGTGCACAGATTTTGAAGTCTTAGTGTGAAAAAGTAACAAAATATCTCATGAATAATTTTTATATTGGTTACATTTGAAATAATAATACTTTGTACATATTGGGTTCAATAATCTATATTATTAAAATTAGTTTTACCTGTTTCTTTTTTTAAAATGATTACTTGAAAACTTAAATATATATCTTACAATATATTTCTATTGAACAGCTCTGGTCTGAGGATTTATATTAAGACACAGCCTCTTCCTTTAACTCTTTCACATCCTCTCCTATGTCTACCCCCAATATACAGGGTGGGGCAGAGGGTGGGTACAGGATGAAGGGGGTCAATGGGGAAAAAGGGAGGCATCTGTGATACTTTCAACAATAAATTTTTTTAAAAGTAAGTTTAAAGTTGTGAGTACACAAAACACAGAGTTTATTCATGTATTATTATTTATCAATTATTGTATTATTTTCCATACAAACAACTGTAAACTTACTTTTGTCCCACCCTGTATAAACTCTATTCTCTAGAACTATATATCAGTGAAAAAAGGTCAGGAGTATTCAAAGTTAACCAAACTCTCAAAAGTGGTTTGTCCAATCATAATATTGGTTAAAAATTAAAACAAATAAAATACTTGGGAAGGACTTGGATGTTTAGCACAACATTCCTTTGAGACAAAGAATGTTTAACAAATATTAAGGTTGTTTCTGCTGCAAATAACAGGAAGAAAACAGAACAAGCTTAAATAAGAAAGACAGGTTCTGTACGGGTAATGGAGCGGTCGAAGAAACTCAAAGACAAGGATGCAGCTGGGCACAGACACAGACCAGAACTGGGCCTGGAGCAGCACAGGGGACTCAGTGAGCCCTTTCTCTCCCCATCTCATCTCTGTGATGCAGACTGGCTTTTTTGGATCCCAGTACAGACGATGATGATGATGATGACGACGACGACGACAACAATGACTACAATAAGAAACAACAGACAGTAAACACTTAGTATCTGCCAGGCACTGTGCAAAGCACTTTATATGCATTAGCTCATTGGGTCCTCGTTAAATACTCATTCAATGTATTTTTTTTCCGCTTAGCAGATAAGGAAGTTGAAGTATAGACTTACCCAAAGCCAAGATTAAAGTGATTGGGTGATTAACAATTTGTCACATAAATTCTTATTGTAAACGATGGTTACCAACAAGAATGCCCAATTTGCATCTCCTAAAATAACAGCATATATTTCATAGGGTTGCTGTGAGGATTCAGTGAAATACTTTGTGTAGATCTTTGTAGAGTTCCTGATACAGAGCATGTGCTCTGTGGGTGTCAGTCGGCGGTGTTATTGTTGCTGTCTCCTCTGTTCAAAAGAGCAGCTGAACTGAGACTAGGATCTTCATCTTGATTTCAAGTTATCAATGCAGGGATTTAGATTTTTAGGACCCAATTCAGACCTAATCAACTGTTTCCAGGAGGAAATAGTTTTTCAGTCAGAGATGGCTCCCTGGGGATCTATCCCTATGAATTAGGGACAGGAAGGAAAAGTATTGGGAGACAGGCTACCATTCAAAGTAATATATGCTATAATCTTTCAAAGGAATGAGTAAACATTATTCTGGCACCAAATATCACCATCCCATTTTATTTACTAAACCACTTCAGCAAGTTAGAAGTAGCACTGAAAGCAGACTTGTATATTCTGAGTTCCCAAATAAGTCATTTCTTTTATGGGCTATGCTAATTAGCAATTTTTAAACTACATAAAAACAAACTTATAATGGATTAAAGAAAATGTGGTTTATTTTTCTCATATAACCAAGAGTTTGGAGACAGGGCTAGCATTTCTGAGGCTCTCTTAGACCTTCTCAAGGTTGCAAGATGGCTTCACCCAGGCAGAAACTGTTGGGGTGTCTGCTATGAAGGCATATAAATAATTGACTTCAAAAGGAACATAACATTTAGTGGACATCATAAACAGAGCTCTATCTAATCCAGTATCTAAAAATGTTATACCATAGTATTAGGAGAATACATTATAAGGGAAATCACAAATTACAGTGGTGTTTGTGTTCCCTCATAATTTCAGCCTATCAATTTCACCACAGAGAAGGGTGCATCAAGATTTTCATGCTCAGAAATCTACTGTGGACTTTACCCCGAGTCAGAACCAGAAGTGAAGGCGGTGGCTAATTTCTTGAGAAGAAATATCAACCATATTAAAGCTTACATCATGATGCATTCATACTTCCAGAAGATAGTGTTCCCATATTCCTATAACAGAAGCAAAAGCAAGGACCATGAGGAACTGGTAAGTGCTGCTTAATTATTTTTATCATTAGCATTTCAGAAATAAAATAATACTTAGTTCAAGAATCAAAAACTCCTCTACAGTTCTGGCCTAACTCTACAGGAGTAACCCAGGATAAAAGTTCATTGAAGGACTGTAAAAAACAGGGTCTTACCCTGAGGACATGAACTTCAGGCCAGCAGATGGGCTCTTTAAGAAAAAAATCCGACCCTCACTGAAGGTCAGGAGGGAACCATTCCACTGGGATGTGATCTACATGTAAAGTTACATAAGCAAGGACCAGGACAAGAGTTTTTGGAATTATGCATCTGCTTTTTGGTCCCTAGCTTTCTGCAATAGTCACCACAGATTAAGTCTCAGCACAACACTCATCAATTTGATGCTAGCATTAGGAATTGTTTGCATGCTGACATCCCTAACCCCCAAGGGTCCTATTAAAAGTATCTCCAATTGCAGCACTGAGACAAGAACAGCTCTCCCCCCTACTTTTTGGAATGTATTAGACAAACACAGTAAAAGTAAAGAAAAGGGAATGATAAATTGCTATGATGACAAGGAACAGATATGATTTCAGCCAAACATTGAAAGATAGGATTTCCATAGATGGACAGGGAAGGGAAGACCTTCCAAGCTGAGAGATGGTGTTTCCCACAGGAAGTGTGTTCAGGAGATTGTGAGAGTGCCAAAGTGAAGGCCGATACCATCAGAAAGTAGATGAGGTCAGCTTGTGAAGATAAGGTAAGCTTATTTGAATGTTAGGATAAATTTGCATTTCATTCTGTAGACAGTGGGGTTCCATTCAAACTTTTATTTTGAACAAAGGAATGGCACGTAGTATCCACTGATATTTCTCCGGGTTATTCAGGAAAGTAACAGTGAATACCACCCAACTTCAGAAAAGATCTGGGTAAGCTAGAAACAAATGTAGTGGAACATGGGACTTAGTTATTATCCTGCTTCATACCAGAGACAATACCTTTTTTGTTGTATGAGTCTTAGGAAATTATTAGACATTTTACAAAAGAGTAAAATAGAGTTTCTGAGAATGAGAAGGGAATTGGATTTAAAGTTTGGTGATAATTTTGTCTAAGAATAAGATAACCCCAAGTTGTTTGCCTTTGAAATATAGTTATATTTCATTTTACAAAATAAATAAATTCCTATAAAAGGCTGGTGAGAATTAAGTTTTTCTTCAAATTAAATAAAATTTTCAAGGTATTGGAAGAGTCTATTTTTAGAGTCATCCAATTGTGATTTCCATAAAGCAAAAAAGCATCTTCTGAAGTTAATTTATTCTTCTTGATTTACCTTTGGGTAAATGCAGATTTTTCATATGTACAGTTTTTTCCAACTTTATTGAGATATAATTGACACATAAAATTGTGTAAATTTAAGGTGTACCATGCAATGACTTGATACACATGTATGTTGTGAAATGATTACCACCATAAAATGAGTTAAACCATCTATCATCTCACATAATTACAATTTTTTCTTTTGTGTTGAGAACATGTAAGATCTACTCTTTAAGCAACTTTCAAGTATATATACAATATTATAGTCATCAGGCTGTAAATTAGTTCCCCAGGACTTTTTCTTCTTATAATTGGAAGTTTGTATCCTTTGACCAACATTTCCCCATTACCCCACCCCCAACTCCTGACCACCACCATCCTACTCTATATTTCTTCATATATATATAACTTGAGCCAATTAATATATGATTAGTTTTTTTAGAAACTTCTACCTGTCCTGTTTTAAAGCTTTACATTAACTGAAATTTCATATTCTATTGATTTCAGTCTCTACTGGCCAGTGAAGCAGTCCATACTATTGAGAGTATTAGTAAAGATACCAGACATACATATGACAGTGGCTCAGAAAGTTTATGTTAGTATTTCTTCTTAAGGTCTTAGAAAACTGTGAGGTCCAAAAAAAAATCTGTGTTTGTTTTTTCCATGTAGATTTAATTTTTCTAAATGGAATCTTTAAACAAAGTCACATGAAAAAAAATGGATTATAACAATTACAAATGGAAGCATAATAGCTATGACAGTCCTGAGTAGGCTATATTAGCAAGTGAATATTTAAAAAGAAGACAAAATGATATTTAGGGAATATGCTCATTGCTATAGAGCAGGGATTAAAGAATTGGCATCACACTGGTTGAGTGAAACAGAAAAGGTCATAAAGGGTGAAAAGAATATGTAAGATGTCCAAGGTCACCATGTGAGGTTGTACAGGTTGAACACTATACACATCTAGTGTACAACCATTACATTTTTTGCTTTTTAGTGACAGCCTGTGCCCAAGAGTATATATAGCACATAGCACAGTATAGTTGAATGTCTTTGGTTTCTATCAGAGTGATAAGAATATGTATGTGGCAAACTCTTAACAAATGTTCTAAGTATTTATTGAGGGACTCCTTTGTACGCACAATGGGATAACAGACAGCGATTTTACTCTTTTGAAGCTTCAAGGGAAGATGGGAGAAGAGGAAATAAACATTTAACCAAGTATTGGCAAATCATGACAGGTAGGTCATGTCCAGCCTACTGCTTGTTTTTGCATAGCCTGAGAACTAAGAATGGTTTCCAGTTTTTTACATGGTAGAAAAAAAAAAAAGATTTTGTGAACTTTGAAAATTATATGAAGTTCAAATTTTAGTGTCCCCAAATAAAGTTTTATTTGAACACAGCCACAATTATACATCTGTGGTCTATGATAGTTTCATGACAGTAGAGTTGAGTAGTTGTGACATAGACTGTGTTACCCACAATGCCTAAAATATTTACTAACTGGTCCTTTACAGAAAAAGTTTTCCATCACTGATGAATGAAATTAAAGGGTAAAATATAGTATAGTTCCATTGACAAGTAAGGACAGTAAAATTGGCTTATGGACTTGAGAATGACTGCAGGAGAGAGGCTACTTAGCTAAAGTTGCCTGGGAAGGTCTCTCTCTGTAGCTGACATTTCTGGGACACCTATCTGGGAAGCAGCTGCTAAACAAAGGTGGGGGGAAACCAGGAAGAGGGAATAGCATGTGAAAAGGCCTTGAGACAATATATTCAAAGTCCCAGAGTTTCCTTTAATAAGTGTGTTCTACAGGGTTATAAAAACACATTCATATTAATAATCACATTATATCGTTTTCAATAAATTGCTTGAGCACCAGATGCCTTATTAGTAGAAAGTCCAGAACTGGAAATTTTCTCTTCTTCCTCAGCAACCCAAAATTGACTCAAAAAAAACTGAGGCCAGATTGGTCCACATGATATATCTTTGTCTCTTGGTGTCACTGGTCCATTGCTGCCTTTTGTGACCCAGGTCCCCGTTCTGTCACAGATAAACCCCACAACTTCCTTTCACAATTCAGAGCTCTCTTGATTTCCATCTTCTTTTCTACTATTGTTCCCCAAAGCATGACCATAGTGCCTCAGGGCTAGGGGAACTTATAGAGTAAACTTCCTCTTATGATGAAATCAGCCCATCTCCACACATTCATTCATTTGGACACATTTATGTGTATGTGCGTGTAAGCATAGGAAAATGGTTAGAATAAATTGCAAATATTGTAACTGTTGTCAGAAATATTTGCTGAATGAATAACAACTAATCCACTGTTGATGAGTATTTTTCAATATTAAAACAATGTTTCAGTAAACACATTTGTATTCATTCAAGTATAAGTATTATAAATAAGCAAAAATGATCACTTTGCATATTATATGATTGCCTACATGGAAAACAGTAGAAAATTAACCAAAAATATTAGTCACAATTAAAAAGTTGAGTGAGGCCCAACTGGGTGTAGCTCAGTGGTTGAGTATCGACCTAGGATCCAGGCGATTGGGATTTGATTTCCATTCAGGGCACATGCCCGGGTTGCAGGCTCGATCTCCAGTCGGGGGCATGCAGGAAGCAGCCAATCAATGACTCTCATCATTGATGTTCCTATCTCTCTCTCTCCCTCTCCTTTCCTCTCTCTGAAATCAATAAAGAGATATTTTTTTAAAAAAAAGTTGAGTAAGGTGGCTGACTATGAACTAAATACATACAACTCTATAGCTTTCTTAAATACCGAAAATAATCAGGTAGAAAATAAAATGAAAAAAAGGTCTTACTTTTTCTATACATGTACATATATATATGTGCACACATATTACATATAGATACAAACATATATGTGGATTCATTGTTAAATATATATATATGCATGTACAAACACAAATCTATATACTCTATATATTTTTTAACCTAGAAAATTTTACTGGTGTACATAAAAGAAGATAAACAAGAGGAGAAACCTGCCATGTTTTTGAGTGGGAAAGCAACATAAAAAAATGGGTCAGTTGTTCTAAATTAATTTGTGTATAAATCCCAATGAACACTCAAATGATCCTGAACTTCATTTGAAAGAATACATTTAGTAGAAGAGCTTGTAGAATTCTGAAAAATAAGACTAATAAGAGAAAATTTGCCCCAACCAAGTATTAAAATACATTAGAAACTTCAAATATATAAGATGTAGTATCTCATGAAGAAGGCATTTCTAATCAGTTAAGAATGTTAGATTATTCAATTAATTGGGTTGAGAAACCTGATGTTACTTAGAAAAAAATAACTGGATTACTAACATGTCTTTCTCTAAAATAAATTCCAGATAGATAAAATATTTTTATATAAAAACCCTGTCATAAACCAAGTTGAAAGCTAAATAACCAAATAAGAAGAAAATATTCTCCCCATATTACACAGGGCTAAATAACAACACTAATGTTCCTTTTATAAACTATCTATAAATTGAACCAAATAAGAATATGAGTAAGACAATTGATAAAAATATATATAAACATAGACAATAAATATACAAGCAAAACATTCAATTCACCAGTAATAAAAGAAACATAAAGCGAGACAATTTGATATTATTTTTTTCACCCATAAAATTGCCAGAAATGCAAAATTCCACAATAATGTGGGAGGGAAAAGTGGGCATAGTCATACCTTGCTAGTGCAGGTATAAATTGGTAAATTCTTTTGAAAGCTATTTGGCAACATGTAGAATAATTGTAAAAAGTACATACCCTTATGTTAGCAATCTAGAAATAATATTCTAAAGGAACAAAGAAGCAATTATGTATAAATAAGGTTGTTAATTGTAAAGTTGTTTATGTTACTTAGAAATTAGGAAAAAAATCTAAAGTTTTCCAAATAAATTTTTAAATTAATTTACATCCAGCTTTACAGTGCAATGCTATGAGTTAAAGATGATTTGATTTGAACTCATCAATACATAAAGCTGGTCACCACAGGTATTATGTTATAAAACAGAATGTATAGAATGACCTTATTTATATAGGAAAAAAATTAACTTAGAAAATTTTAAAAATTAACTTTTTTTTTTTTTTTTTTTTT